TGTCACACATACATGGCAGACTGTCAAACAGACATGGCAGACTGTCACACAGACATCGCAGACTGGCTCGCAGATTGTCACACAGACATGGCAGACTGTCACACAGACATGGCAGATTGGCAAACAGACATGGCAGACTGTCAGACAGACAAGGCAGACTGTCACACAGACATGGCAGACTATCACACAGACATACATCGCAGACTGTCACACAGACATCGCAGACTGTCACACAGACATGGCAGACTGTCATACAGACATGGCAGACTGTCACATAGACATGGCAGACTGTCACACATACATCGCAGACTGTCACACAGACATAGCAGACTGTCACACAGATATGGCAGAATGTCACACACACATCGCAGACTGTCACACAGACACGGCAGACTGTCACACAGACATGGCAGACTGTCATACAGACATAGCAGACTGTCACAGAGTCATGACAGACTGTCACACAGACATGGCAGACTGTCACACAAACATGGCAGACTGTCACACAGATATGACAGACTGTCACGCAGATTGTCACACAGATATGGCAGACTGTCACACAGACATGGCAGACTGTCACACAGACATAGCAGACTGTCACACAGTCATGACAGACTGTCACACAGACATCACAGACTGTCACACAGACATGGCAGACTGTCACAAAGACATCGCAGACTGTCACATAGACATGGCATACTGTCATACAGACATCACAGACTGTCACATTGACATGGCAGACTGTCATACAGACATGGCAGACTGTCACACAGACATGACAGACTGTCATACAGACATCACAGACTGTCACACAAACATGGCAGACTGTCATACAGACATCACAGACTGTCACACAGACATGGCAGATTGTCACACAGACATCACAGACTGTCACACAGACATGACAGACTGTCACAAAAACATAACAGACTGTCACACAGACATCACAGACTGTCACACAGACATCGCAGACTGTCACACACACATGGCAGACTGTCACACAGACATGGGAGACTGTCACACAGACATCACAGACTGTCACACACACATGGCAGACTGTCACACAGACATCGCAGACTGTCACACACGTATGGCAGACTGTCACACAGACATGGCAGACTGTCACAAAGACATGGCAGACTGTCATACAGACAGACAGATGTAATGTGCTCATCTAGGGGCATGTATTGTTTACATTGCTTTCAGACGAACAGTGAGTTGAAATGACACAGCATGAACGAATATTGAGTTCTTTGCTTTTATTCGTTGAATCGCCAGTTATCGCAAACATACATTCATGCTTCCTCGTGCTCGACTTGCTTGGCTGAATCTAGCGACCTGGACGGACTTCCCGCACACTACAGGAATCTATCAGCGCCTCTCGAACCATCCATCTATACTTCATGGACTCTGCTATCTGACATTACGACGTATGGAAAAACATTCAGTCCTCCTATTGAAATATAACGTTCACTTGACAAATCATTTATTCTTCTCAGGCGTTCATTCACGCGTCCTCTCTCCGTCAGGGCAGAACTTCAACTGTCTTACTTCAGTCTCTCGGTTCACGTCTTCCGTTCACGTCTCATGCTTTTCTTGTGTCTCTCACTTCGTTTACCATGAGACACACGAGACTCACTTCTCCCGTTTTTCTCTTCTCTCACGGGTCCTCCGACCTTTTTCTCCCCATCGGGAACTCTCTGGGGTTTCCCCGGGAATTCACAACATTACAACAGACATGGCAGACTGTCAACCAGACATGGCAGACTGTCACGCAGACATGGCAGACTGTCACACAGATATCACAGACTGTCACACAGACATCACAGACTGTCACACAGACATTTCAGACTGTCACATAGACAACACAGACTGTCACACAGACATCACAGACTGTCACCCAGACTGTCATATAGACATCACAGACTGTCATACAGACATTACAGACTTTCACACAGACATTACAGACTGTCACACAGACGGTCACACAGACATTTCAGACTGTCACAAAGACATCACAGACTGTCACACAGACATGGCAGACTGTCACAAAAACATAACAGACTGTCACACAGACATCACAGACTGTCAAACAGACATCGCAGACTGTCACACACACATTGCAGACTGTCACACAGACATGGGAGACTGTCACACAGACATCACAGACTGTCACACACACATGGCAGACTGTCACACAGACATCGCAGACTGTCACACACGCATGGCAGACTGTCACACAGACATGGCAGACTGTCACAAAGACATGGCAGACTGTCACACAGACAGACAGACATGGCAGACTGTCACACAGACATGGCAGACTGTCACGCAGACATGGCAGACTGTCACACAGATATCCCAGACTGTCACACAGACTGTCACACAGACATGGCAGACTGTCACAAAGACATCACAGACTGTCACACAGACTGTCATATAAACATCACAGACTGTCACACAGACATCACAGACTTTTACACAGACAACACAGACTGTCACACAGACATCACAGACTGTCACACAGACGGTCACACAGACATTTCAGACTGTCACAAAGACATCACAGACTGTCACACAGACATGGCAGACTGTCACAAAAACATAACAGACTGTCACACAGACATCACAGACTGTCAAACAGACATCGCAGACTGTCACACACACATTGCAGACTGTCACACAGACATGGGAGACTGTCACACAGACATCACAGACTGTCACACACACATGGCAGACTGTCACACAGACATCGCAGACTGTCACACACGCATGGCAGACTGTCACACAGACATTTCAGACTGTCACATAGACAACACAGACTGTCACACAGACATCACAGACTGTCACCCAGACTGTCATATAGACATCACAGACTGTCATACAGACATTACAGACTTTCACACAGACATTACAGACTGTCACACAGACGGTCACACAGACATTTCAGACTGTCACAAAGACATCACAGACTGTCACACAGACATGGCAGACTGTCACAAAAACATAACAGACTGTCACACAGACATCACAGACTGTCAAACAGACATCGCAGACTGTCACACACACATTGCAGACTGTCACACAGACATGGGAGACTGTCACACAGACATCACAGACTGTCACACACACACATGGCAGACTGTCACACAGACATCGCAGACTGTCACACACGCATGGCAGACTGTCACACAGACATGGCAGACTGTCACAAAGACATGGCAGACTGTCACACAGACAGACAGACATGGCAGACTGTCACACAGACATGGCAGACTGTCACGCAGACATGGCAGACTGTCACACAGATATCCCAGACTGTCACACAGACTGTCACACAGACATGGCAGACTGTCACAAAGACATCACAGACTGTCACACAGACTGTCATATAAACATCACAGACTGTCACACAGACATCACAGACTTTTACACAGACAACACAGACTGTCACACAGACATCACAGACTGTCACACAGACGGTCACACAGACATTTCAGACTGTCACAAAGACATCACAGACTGTCACACAGACATGGCAGACTGTCACAAAAACATAACAGACTGTCACACAGACATCACAGACTGTCAAACAGACATCGCAGACTGTCACACACACATTGCAGACTGTCACACAGACATGGGAGACTGTCACACAGACATCACAGACTGTCACACACACATGGCAGACTGTCACACAGACATCGCAGACTGTCACACACGCATGGCAGACTGTCACACAGACATGGCAGACTGTCACAAAGACATGGCAGACTGTCACACAGACAGACAGACATGGCAGACTGTCACACAGACATGGCAGACTGTCACGCAGACATGGCAGACTGTCACACAGATATCCCAGACTGTCACACAGACTGTCACACAGACATGGCAGACTGTCACAAAGACATCACAGACTGTCACACAGACTGTCATATAAACATCACAGACTGTCACACAGACATCACAGACTTTTACACAGACAACACAGACTGTCACACAGACATCGCAGACTGTCACACAGACATCACAGACTGCCACACAGACATTTCAGACTGTCACACAGACATCACAGACTGTCACACAGATATCACAGACTGTCATACAGACAACACAGACTGTCACACAGACTGTCACACAGACATCACAGACTGTCACACAGACATCACAGACTGTCATACAGACATCACATACTGTCACACAGACATCACAGACTTTCACGCAAACATCACAGACTGTCACGCAGACCACGCAGAGGAGAGAAAATTATCGAGCACAATAATGCTGTAGCATCACTGGTGGCTTACAGACAACGTTAAGTGTAAACTGTAAATTATCACAGAAAGAGATGGACTTGTATCGTGCCTTGTTTGATCGCATGTTGCCCGCTTGCTCGCTGCAGAATGGCTAGACTGTTGTCGGAAGCCTCGCAGGAAACACGAACTCCATAGCTTCCTCAAAGATTTTCATAGATTTACGTAAAAACTGCAGCTGTGAACCCAACGTAGATCATAAACGAACCCTGGAGCTTCAGAGCGAGAGACAAATGTCTTAGTCCGATGGTGACGGAACCCACAGAGGTTTCCGCCAGAAAAAAACACTACTTGATTTGTTTGTCTGTTTGGTCCTTTCATAAATTATTAATGATCGGGAAATTCCGCTTTGTCGTCCCCACGGTGTCAACAACCGGGCGCCAACCAGGAAGAAAAAAAATCGCTTGTCTGGTGTTTTTACGACACCCCCTCTCTCTTTTTCCCCCTTCTCCAACTGAGGGAGTTGAAAGTTGAACACTTATTTTTTTTTTAAAGTGAAGTAAAATAAATATCTCACTCTCTTTCTGTCAAACATTACTCTCAGACCGATACCTGAAGTACACATGTATATTTCTTTAGAGTAAATATATTGTAATAATAATGAGAGAAAAAATATTGGGAAATGTGATGAAACAGCCTCAAGACAATCTGTTATCACAAATGGCTGCTGGTCAGTGACCTAGATTAGAATCCTGGAGCAGACAGGCTCTTGTCCATAAACCTCCGCTTGGCAAAACATAGCCACCACTTGTTGGGTTTATCATTCTGGTCAAAGACTTTGTCCAACAGCCTCACCCCAGTTTCCTGCCTTAGCTGTTGAAGGTACTGCCTCATGGTATCATCCTCTGCTTTGTTGGCAGGCTTGCTGTACATGGCATTGAGGGGAAACCCTGGCTCTCCCGGGATAGGAAAATTGGAGATCCCAAGGGTGTACATCTCCGTATCTCCCTGGCTTCTTGATGAGCATCGCTGTAGCTTCTTGAGGCACTCGCTGATGTACAGGGCTATGTAAATCAGCGTCATGTCAGCCTGACTCTTGATTTCATAGTTACGAAAGAAAATATTGGCCTTGAAGAAATATATTGCCTCATCTATGATGTCAAAGTCGGATGTGTCTTAAGCAGCTGGTCCCTTGTACTGTGTCCGCACAGGCAGCAATGCCATGTTGCCAATAAGCTGAGGGGGGTTTAGGAACTGTGAGTGATAGGTCGGCATTTAAAAAACACTTAGCAGTACATCGGTCAAGAATAGACTTGCACAACACTGTAGGCCAGCGCCCACATACTGGTCACGTGGTAGTACCTCGTACAGTCGTTACAGGAACCAAAATTATAACTGACTGGAAGTTTAGATACCCTTATCTAACCACCCCTTGTGGGTTCCAGGGCTCCATATTGGGGAACAACAAATAGACCTACTGCCCACAAACAAGCATGTCGTAGGATGTGACTCATTAGGATTGTTCCCTTTAAAGCCGGATTTGATCTGCCTAAGAGGCAAGGAAACAGCACACAAGGTCCGACAATTAAGTAATGAGACTGTTTTGATAATGGTCAACACAAAAATGCCATCTACATGGAATCTAAGAAGGCAACATTCATTTATGATCTGGCAACTTTTCATCGCTGCTCGATAAGCAGACAACAAACAAGCCGCCATTTTGTTGATCTAGTCAGAGGTGCATTGTTACGTTATCAGCACAGAGCAAAAAGCTAACAATAAATTCTTTTTAAAGCTCAGAAAAAGCACCATTGAAACAGCTGAATTTATGCAACAAATTTAAGGGGATATTTTGTTTATTTCGTGCACACATTTTCAGGTTGTATTCACGATTCAAAAGTAGTGTGGAAATGATTACTAATGCACCTAGACCTGGGCGCCAAATTTATGTTTGTAATTAAATTTCTATTCGTAATGATGAACTCATTGCAAAAGTCAGAGAACGGATTCAAGAAGATCATTGTTTTACTGTGAGGATGATGGCAGATGAATCTGGTGTTAATAGAGAGACCGTTCATAACAATTTAGTTCAGGATTTTACCAGCAAGTACATTTTTTCTTGTCGGTTTGTGCCACATTCGTTGTCTGATGACCAAAAACATCAGCGGATTTAGTACCCAAGAGAAATCATCAAAACAAGAACTTTTGACCCCAAAACAAGTGTGTGTTCTCAGCCTTCTATCCTATTCTCCGGATTTGTCTCCATGTGATTATTTTATATTCCTAAAATTAAATTATGATTGAAAGGGCACGTCTTTGACGACATTGATGACATCCAAAGGGCCGTAACATCGACTTTAAGGGCCAAAACAACAGAAGAACTACAGAGCTCGTTCCAATGTTTGTTAGATCGTGCCACTTGCTGTATCAATGTACAAGGGCCTTACTTTGAAGCAGATACAGGTTATGTCTTCAACTGTTGATTAGTTTAATTTGTATGTAATTAGTCTCGTTACTTAATTGTCGGACTGTGTACTTCACACAGATAAGCCAGATCTGTAAACGGATGTGCAGAACTCAAGTTTGAAACGACTTCAGTCCAGGTGTTTAGTATTTCCTTGTGAGATGCAATTTTTGTTATTTTACTAGTGGGGTAGACAATTTTTCGTTATTTTCCTAGTGGGGTAGAACATTTTCGTTATTTTCCTAGTGGGGTAGAACATTTTTCGTTATTTTCCTAGTCGGGTAGAACATTTTTCGTTATTTTCCTAGTGGGGTAGAACATTTTTCGTTATTTTCCTAGTGGGGTAGAAATCTACTAACCCAGGAGTGGACAAATACCCAGAAAATTTCACAGTTTGTTAACGCTAAAAAAAAAAAAAAGGAAAAGGTATGTGAGATTTACCCTGTTGGAATGCATCTCTTTCAGTCACAGGCCTGTCAAAAAATACTGAGGTAGTCGCATCTCGGGCTAGCTCTTTATTTGTCGAGGAAAGCTGTCTGGCAAAGCCTGGCTTATCTTTGCTTCCCAAGATACATAAACCTGACAACCCAGGCAGATTGCGCTTGTTTCACAGAACTCATATCTGAGTTCCTCGACTATATTTTGTAGCCCCTGGTCGTTGGTCTTCTGTCTTACATCAAGGATACTAACCCTGCTTTTTGTTGCCCCTGGTCGTTGGTCTTCTGTCTTACATCAAGGATACTAACCCTGCTATCTCCATCTTTTAATCCATCCGGTTCACCTCTTCTACAAGGTAGCACATCTTCACCTTAGAACTTACCTCCCTCTACACCTCTATTCCGCACTGTGGCGGGCTCTGGCTTTGCAGTCAGCTCGGCTATAGCCACAGACCCTTTGATACGCCTGGCTGAGTTAATGCTCTCTAAACGCTTTCGAGTTTAATGGAAACTACTTCAACTAGATCAGCATCGTCTCTATGGGCACCAAGTTGGGACCTAGCTATGCCTGACTGATCATTGGCCACCTCGAGCATCAGATACGTCAAGCTTATACAGGCTCCCCAAGCTCTATAGGAGATATATCGATGATAGCATCGGTGTCAACCATTAAACTCCTACCTAAATTGCAAAACTTCATTCAGTTTTTCTCCAACTTCCGTCCCAGCATCCGTTGCACTTTCAGCATTTCACCTACATCGGTGCATTTTTCTGCATCTCAGCTTCAAGGCCTCCGCAGACTATGCCAGGAGAACGACGACTTTCTCAACAAGGCCCCAGAAATGTTGGGACTTCTTCCGACTCTGATGGTATACGGAACAAGTCTTTTCTGCTGCCTTTCATCGAGCATGATCTAACCATCGTGCTGAGGCTCTCAGTTCAAGCCTAACCGGCACCACAACTGACCCATTCTCACACTGACCTACCGCCCTCACAACATACGTGCTAAAAATATTCTCCTCAAGCATCTCGCCATCCTTAAGGCTGACCCTACAACCAGCAAGGTTTTCTCTGAACTTCCTCTAGTGGTCTACAGGCACGACTGTAACCTCAAGGACATTCTAGTTAAGAGTCCGTTACGTCCTGCCTCCGAGTCCCACTTCGGGATTGTCTCCTGCCACAAACCTGAATGCAGGACCGGTCCATATGTGGTTCAGGGTTCCAGCCTGGAATTCCCGAATGCCACCGTCCACATACGGACCTCTTTCCGGCGACTACACCACGGAAAAACTTTTGCTGAGTTAAAGTCACCATTGAGAGTTTTCCCCGCGCTGCTACGCGAGGTGCGGAGCTAACCTAGATTACTGGGACTCACGAGCAGCAGCTACCGTATCTTCTGCAGCTTCCTCCATTTTATTTGCACCAGCCGCAATGTTATTTACGCCACAAACTGCAAGAGATATGGCATAAAATACATCGGTGAAACGGGTTGACGACTGGCTGACAGGTTCTTACATCTTTTGGATGTGCAGAATGGTGCTCTGAAACCTGTGCCATTGAATTTCAATTTCCAGGACCACCAAGGTGTCACGACATGGAGGTGACAACCATTACATCCAGCCACTTCAGCGACAGAGTTCTCAAGTCTCTTGAAAGTTACTTTATATACACTTTGGGAACTCTGGCGCCCAGTAGATTAAACTGCCAGCACAGCTTCATCTAGAATCCCAGGGAACTCAACTGCCTACACAGTTTCATCTTATTCTCGAGTTCCGGCCCCTGGCTTTCCTATGATATTTATTTTCCCCTTCCCATGTGTCCCGACAGTCTGTTGGATAGACAGCAACATGACTGCTTGAAAATACGAAGATAAATGATATTGTGTATTTGTGTAGCATTGTACAATTTGTGTATGTGCTGACTAGGTCTCCATAGCCGCAACGTTCACGTTTTGTTCGTGTTTGTTATATTGTGAATCTCGCTGATATACTTTTCGTTCGGGTTTATATATGCAGAGATGCAGAGAAACAGTCAGTCAAAACAATAGTTAGCTGGATAACCACAACACAACACCTTGAATAATCTCAAAGACACTGTAACTAGAACCACCACCAACAAAAACCTTCATTTTCCCAGGGACTTATCTCCACAGATTTGCCCGAGATCTTATAATACTACTTCTAAATAATCACACAGGCTACCATCTAAACTGGTAAACAGTTTTAAAAAAAAAGAAACAACATTCTCGCCTACGCCAGTCTCACATAAATAAATACTCCAGTCTTAAACAGAAGGGAAAGAAACGAATACGATACAAGAAAAAAAGAGGGGAGTTAACCATTAATAGATGTCAGGCAAACAACGGCTGGATCGTGGGCTGGGATCGATTATCTGCCCCTGGACACTGGACTGGTCCATGAACTAATGTGGAGAGAACTACTTGAGTGCCAGAAACTCGATTACCCACTCTTCATCAGGTGTTGGGTTCACACCTTTACCTTTAACCTCTTTCCAGAGTTTGCAACACAGGAATACACGAACTGCTTGTAGATTTCCGCTAGGAGTGGCTTTTGATGTGAATACCTTTAAAGTAACATGCATTTGTGCAATGAATCACGAATCTTAGTTTTAGTCAAGGGTTTAACTTCACTTCACTGCAGTCCGATCACCCCACCTGGCACCGTTCCTGTGCCAGTGAAAATCAAATGAAATGTTTCTCACAGTCCCATTTGAAAAACTCGTGAACAAACAATTAGTCCCGGTACAGTCCAGAAATTTGCGCAGGCAGTAAATACATAAGGCAGTTGCTAGAAGCGCCAAAGCCAACAGTCGCCACCGGAAACGAAGTTTGTTATTGGTGGAAGTAGAGCCATCAGTATCAGCCTCCTCCTCATCAGCATTCACACCATCACCAGTCTCATCATGTTATTATTCTCATTATTTTCATTATTTTCTTCACCAGCCACCCTTCTCGTCATCATCCTCGGCCTCATCAAGTCGACTTCAGACTCCACTAGTTCTCGTAAGCAGCCGAGTATTTCAGAAGTTCTTCTGCTCCCGCGAAGCAAACTATTCCACCAGGCCCGTCACTCCACGTCAACGCACTAATCCACTAGTTCCTTCCAGACAGAGCCGTCATAACGGCATTACAGGCCCCGGGGCAAACCACTGTGCTGGGACCCTTACCATAGCCACTGACATGAATGAAATGTGAAAAGTTAGTAATATGAAACCTGTATTTATTTTATAGATTATACAAATGAACATGGAGCCCCTTTGCTCGTGGGACCCCATAGGCAAGTGCCCAGCGAGCTCTTGTTTTCAGACGGCACTGTTTCCACCCAAGGAAAACGCCGTGGCGTTGGCGGCTAGAC